TCTCACGTCGATGAAGTTGTCACCCCGGGCGGAGAAACGCGGGATATGAAACAACGTGTGGTTGCCTGGTCGCACGATGTCAAACTTGGCGCTGGTAGTGGAGGTTATTTGCGAGTCACCCGTCGCGCTGGCCGAAGTCGGGCTGGACGTCGACTCGGGCGTTGGGCTGGGCGTTGGGCTGGGCGTTGGGCTGGGCGTCGCATTCCAAATGTAAAACGCCATGTGGTCCAACTCCTGTAGGAGCTGCAGCCGATGCCACCATTAACGCAGCGGTGGCCTGCGGGGCCGCCTCAATAATCGACTTGCCCGTGCCCAAAGAAGTAACGGCAACACGTTTCCCCACCAAATTTCGGGCTTGAATACTGCAAGCCTGTGCCGTGCAACGTGGAACATAATGTGGCCCACGTCGAACAAGACGCGTACGATGAAGCCAAACAACGTCGATTATGATCCTCGGTGAGGCCAACTGGTGCTGATGTATCGACGTAGTTGTCGTTCGACCTCACGTACAGGTAAAACATGCGATCGGAATTCGTGATTTGGTACTCCAGATTTCGTAATAAAGGGAGGGGGGGTCTCATTTCGGGGGGGTCTCTTCCAGGCTATCTTGGAGGGCCTGGCGGGGTCTGGGGACAATGTTTTGGAGGGTTCTCCCTCTGGGGAGGTCTGACATAGCTGGTCTTGGAGGGTCCAGACCCCCTCCCTTTTATTACGAAATCTGGAGTAAACGTCAGTGTAGCCGTCTCGAACCAACGCCATGACGTTGCTATCCGCGTCGGAATCTCTGCCACCGTGCCCCCGTGGCACGTTGGGGCGTGACGAAATGCCGAGTGCTGCCGGGTAGGGCTTTCGGGACTCCCCCCTCTCCCCGGCGCACCTCGTCGCGCGCACTGGCCATACTCCGGGGGGAACCCTGGGCGGCCATGGCGCCTCCCTGGGGCCCCACGAGGCTTCCATGACGGCCCTCGAGGCCCCCAAGGCGATCCAAGAGGGCCTCGAGTCGCCGAACGATCGCTCGAAGACGCCCAAGATGGCCTCAAGATGGCGCAAGAGGCTTCCAAGGCGCCCGAAGAGGCCTCCCAGAGGCTTCATTAGAGGCCCCTCAAAGGCAAAAATCATTGATTTTCCGTGCGTGTCTGAAGGATTTTGGCGTTCACGCCTTTTCGGCTTCCCGACGCTCCAAGACGGCCCAAGAAGCCCCCAGGAGGCCTCCAAGAGGGCCCCAAGACGGCCTAAGAGCGCCCCAAGACGGCCCGGGAGACCCCCAAGACGGCCCAAGAGGGTCCAAGACGGTCCCAAACGGGGCCCCAAGGAGGGATCGCACACCGAAAATCCAAACCTTCCGCGACAAGGGACCCACAAGAGGTCCCAAGAGGCACCCAAAAGGCCCCTAAGAGGCCCCCAAGAGGCCCCAAAACGGCCCCCAAGAGGCCCCAACACGGCCCCCAAGAGGCTTCAAAACTGCCTCCAGGAGGCTCCGACGCCGAAAGGCCTCCCACGAGATTCCAACGAACATCCACTAGGTTAGTCCACAACCCAGGCACGGTGGCGGGACTTGCCATAGGCAGCTGGACACTTCGCATGACTTGACCCAATCCCCGAACTGTTAATGATTCCATAAGCTCCGGTCGTGAGGGGTAAGGAGTACGAGCTCCTTGAACAATCCTGGATCTGGTATAGTTTGGCCCACTCTGTCCCGCTGCTCGCTGACGGTTTGGAGACGCTCCTCAAATGCAGAGCGCATGTTATGCCCAAGCACGAAAGCAACTGCACGCACTCCAGTAAGAACGAGCGCGCGCACGCCATTGCGAGCGGATGCTAATAGCCAGAACGTCAGCCCCCAGCGTGAACTCGCTGATGTACCGGTAAACGGTTGATGCTGTGATCCAAAACGGCAATGGACTGAACACCCTGGCCTCAAGGAAAAATGCGACCCTCACTTCAGAGGGAGCGCGTTACACGGGCGCTTGCCTTGGAACATTCGGCGGCGCGTGTGAACCATTGCCCCCCCCGAACATTCGGCGCCGTCGAACAAAACCGGGGGGACTCCCCCCCTCTCCCTCCCCCCTCCCCGACCCCCCCTCTCCAAGCGCACACAAAACACGCTCTTTCTCATTTGCAAACATGGCCAAGGCGTCGACCTGGCAATCTCGAGGTCCAGGGGGCCCAGAACTTGAGGGACGCAAAACCGTGCTCCCTGGGATCGTCTCCGCGGCACTGTCTTCCCGCGGGACCGTTTTCCCAGAGACTGCTTCCAAGGAGCGCTTCCCCAGAGAACCACAGACGGTGGAGTGCCCTCAGGCCCTCAAGAACCCTAAAATCCATAATGTCGAGTCTTGTGAATGTAGAGGTCCAAGTCATCCTCCTCCTCCACCTCCTCCTCCCCCTCCTCTTCCTCCTGCTCATCATTCTCCTACTCCTCTTTCTCATCTTCCTCTTTCTCCTCCTCTTCCTCCTCCATCTCCTCCTCGTCGTCCTCCTCCATTCCTTTTCCTCGTCAATAACTTCTCCCAGTCGCACACCGAGGTCGGTAGAATGGGCGGACCCGTCGTCTCGCCTGAAAATTCCTCACAATGTATGACCCTGAAGCTTGAACATTAGCAACGGTTTCACAGATGGAGGGCGGGTCGCTGTCAAAATGTAGCTCTCGCCGTACCGCCGCGCACACTCCTCTTAAACAAGTTACACGAAGGGCGGGTGGCTTTCAAAATGTGTTTCTCGCCTTAGCGCCGCGCACATTCCATTTGAACATGTGCAAGAGTTTCACGGATTGAGGGCGGGTGGCTTTCAAACTGTGGTTCTCTCCTTAGCGCCGCGCACATTCGTTTTGACAAGTTGCAAGAGCTGAACGAGGGTCGTCTTGAAACTGTGGCTCTCGCCTTAGCGCCGCGCACACTCGTTGCAAACATTGGCAAGAGTTCACGGATTGCGAGCGAGTGGTTTTCAAAATGTGGCTTTCGCCTCAGCGCCGCGCGCACTCGTTTAAACAAATTGCACCAGCTTCACAGATGGAGGGCGTGCCGTTTTCAAGATGTGGCTCTCGCGTTGGCGCCGCGCACAACCGATTTCACAAAATTGCAGGAGCTTCACGGATTGAAGGCGGGCGGGTGGTTTTCAGCATGTGGCCCTCGCGTTAGCGCCGGGCACATTCCTTTTGAACATGTGCAAGACCTTCACGGGTCCCCATGGACAACGTAGCAAGAAGAGCGTTTTCGAAATATTCATGGTTATCAGATTGGAACAATTACGTTGGTTCGCGGTGTTGAAGTTTCAAGAACGGCATTCTAATACGATACAGGGTCGTCAAGACGCAACAGTCAGGTTGATCCGTGGCGGTGGAGTCCCGAGAATAAGGGTTCGGCATGCTTCAGGGTCTTCAAACTGTTGTCTTCCAGCGAGACAGTTCCCTCAGTGGAAATGAACCCTTGTAGGGGCCTGTGAAGAGGGAGCTTGGAGGGATAGTTTACGCCAACATCGTTGATGACTCTTGAGTTTCAGCTGGTCCTTCTTCTCCTCCTCATACTCCTCCTCCTCCTCCTCCTCCCCCTCCTCCTCCCCCTCCTCCTCCTCGTCCGCCTCCTCCTCCGCCTCCTCCGCCTCCTCCTCCTCCTCCTTCCACCGCCCGCCCCATGTCCCGAGCTTGTGGCAGGGTCATGAGCTCATCGTTGTGGATGTCGTCGAGGTCTTCGTCGTGGTCGTGGTCGTGGTCGTGGTCGTCCGTCTGGGTCGGCGTCACGTGCCGTAAGGCCTTCATAATAAAAGAAAGAGAGAGGGAGAAAGAGAACCAACCAGAAAAAAGGGTAACACCTGAAAGAAAGACTGGGCGAACCGGGGAGGGATACACATGTACGGCTTACATGCAATTCCACATGTATCGATACATGGCGGGGGGAATAACATCTATATGTATATATATATAGAGAGAGACACACACAACACATATATCGACGTGTATGGTTATGCAGGAGTATGGAGAGAAATGAGAAGGAGGGTTGGAGAGAGAGCGATACATACATATATATATATATATACATATGTATATATATATAGAGAGAGAGAGAGAGAGAGAGAGAGACGTGGAGCCGTGCCAGAATTCCCCTGAAGCGTTGTTTGCATCCACGGCTTCCTCCACTGTCGAACGGAAGGCACGGGCGCGACTCCCAAACCTGCGGCGAGTGCCCGCCTGGCGGGCGCCCACTGTGCGCTTCGTGGGCGCTCCGCTCTTCATCAGGCTCTCCGAGGTTTCGCGTAGTGCCCGCCCACGGGCGGCTCGGGGGCGACCCTACACGCCAGGCCTTGCAGCTCAGACCACACAGCTTGCGCAGGCCATATTACACCACGGAGCCCGCACGACATACGACAACACACCTCGTAGCCCTCGCCACATAGCTGACACCACGTACCAGCATGGCTTACGCCACACAACTTCCACAACGTCTGTCCCGCCTCCCTCGGGTAATGGCCTACTGTTTTCTTTGGGGTCCGTGCTGGCTAACATACATGTGGGTGTTTAGACTGGGTAACAACATACGGTACACATATATGTATACATGTATGTATACACGTATGTGTGTAGGAGGGGACGGACGGAGGAACGATACATACCATACATGTCATCTACGCTGTGTATGGCGAGGGGTATGAGAGATACTAGCGCCTAGCGAGATGTACGCACGAGAGACACATCGCAACGCGACGCGTTGCGCATCTGAATATACAGATCCGCGCCAATCGCATCCCCCCCTCCCCAAGACAACACAAAACGCAGAAGCTCCCTCCTCCTCGATAGCCCCCCTCCTGGCGGAGGAGAACCAGCAGAACGCTGGGTGCGTTCGCACTCTGCTTCGGAGCCTGCCGCTTCAGCAGGGAAGACCATGCCATCTCACATATGAGACGTACGCCAACCTCGCACGATGGCCCCCAATCCATAGCACATTGTCTGTTCTCCTTCTCGCCCCCTCCTCCGCAGCGGCAGCCACAGGCCCGTCCCGAAGCACGGCCTTCTCCGTCGCTGGCCGCCGCAGCCGCCGCGCGGGGCTCCTGCCAGCCGAGCGGCAGAGCGGGAGAGCCCCTCAAACTCCAGCTCCAGCCCCAGCTCCTCCTCCCCTCCTCCTGCAATTTCAATTCCGCAAGCGCTTCCCCCTTTCCCCCTTTCTATTTCTCCGGGTCCTCTGGCTCTTCCTCCTGCTCCTCCTCCTCCTCCTTGGCATGAAAGAGAAGGGCCCTTGAAACGGGTCCTGAAACTCAAGGGTTGCCTGGGGACAATTGGCCTATCCCGTGCCGATCAATTTTCTGACGGTCCCCGGGCCAAGGGAAGGCCCAGAAATCCGAAAACGGGGGAACACTTACTCCAGGACCGCCCTCTTCTCCGGAACCCGCCTCTCTGCGCCGAGAACCTATGAGGCGACATCCGAAACCCATCCCCCGAACCATCGACTCTCCTGAATCGATGGGAGGCGGGGGTAGTGTTCGGATTTCGCCATGTGCTCGACGAATTCAGAACCCTACCACCGCCACACATGGAGTTGCCCGAATCGTTGATCGGCGAAGGTAGGGCTCGGATTTCGCCGCCGACAAATACAGTTAGGTCGGGCATGTATTCCTACAAGCAAATTTCGGACGACAAGTACACACATTGAAAATTACCCTGGCGAAGGACACAACCATATGCAGCTAGCTGTGAGTACCGCGTTGTGGGTACCGCTCTCAGTGGAAAACCCTGTGGGGCCACGATCCTCGTGAGGGGTGTGCCGAACTGGGCGGGGTGACGCATGTAAGCCCTGCCGCTGGGGCCTTCGGTGGAGCTCCCCATGGGGCCACGATTCTCGTGAGGGGTGTGCCGAAATGGGCGGGGGGGACGCATGCAAACCCTGCCGCTGGGGCCTTCGGTGGAGCTCCTGATGGGGCCACGATACTTGTGAGGGGTGTGCCGAAATGAGCGGGGGGACGCATGCGAACCCTGCCGCTGGGGCCTTCGGCGGAGCTCCCTGGGGGCCACGATCCTCAAGAGGGGTGCACCGAACTTGGCGGGGGGACGCATGTAAACCCTGCCACTGGGGCCTTCGGTGGAACTCCCTGTGGGGCCACGAACCGTCTGAGGGGTGTGCCGAACTAGGCGGGGGGACACATGCGAACCCTGCCACTGGGGCCTTCGGTGGAGCTTCCCATGGGGCCACGATCCTGGTGAGGGGCGTGTCGAAGTGGGCGGGGGGACGCATGCGAACCCCGCCACTGGGGCCTTCGGTGGAGCCCCCTATGGGGCCACGAAACGCTGTCCTGGGTGGGTGAAACGCCGAGAAGTGACGAGGCGGATGGGAGGAGGAAGGCGGGAGAGGAGCGCGGGAGGTGAGGTGAGGAACGTGGGGCGCTGTCTCTTCAAAACGAGGACCCAGCACCACAGGGTGGTTGGGGAGAAATGCTAGACACACCGTCCCCGACCATGATTCGACTATTCTGGACTGTTCCTCCTGCAGAGGGACACGCCCGACTTCAGGGTAGGGCTTGGCGTTCGCCGCCGAGAACCCTCCAAAACATCGTCCCCAGACCCCCCCGGCCCTCCAAGATAGCCTGGAAGAGACCCCCCCCCGAAATGAGACCCCCCTCCCGTTATTACGAAATCTGGAGCAGGGCTTGGCGTCCGCCGCCGAGGAACACGGGAGCCAATCCTGCCCGCTGGGCGGCGCGGCCGGCTCCGGCACCTCCTCGCCGAACGCCTCCTTGAGGGCGCGCCAGGCGGCCGCCTCCTCGTCGTCCAGGCTCTCGGCCTGGGTGCACTGCCCGCGCGCGAGGGCCGCAGGGGAGGGAATACCGGCGGCGGGCGGGGGGTGAGAGCGAGAAGGAGGAGGCCTTCTCAGAAGGCGGCGGGGCTTCTCAGAAGCCCTCGCCTCGCGCCTTCTGAAAGGTTTTGCTGTCTTCGGAGAAGGCTTAGGGAACTTCCCACAGGCTTGGGGACTTCCGAGCCTTCTGAGAAGGCCCGCCCCTCCTCACCTCCTCCCCTCGCTCGCCGCCGAAGGAAGGCGAGGCGAGGCGCCGACACACGTCCAGAAGGGTGGCCCTGCGAGAGCACAGCGGTCGGGCTGGAGCCCGGGAATTCACTCTGGACCGGCTCCTGGGCGCACCCCCCCTCGGCCGCTTCTCCACGCTGGCGCGCTGCTGCTCTCCGAGCATACGGCCGAGAACCGTAGTCAAGTGGACCCCGCCAGCGCAGCCCCCGCAGAGAGGGGTGGCCCTTGGCCGCAGGGGGCCGCTCACGGCGTAACGAGTCACTGGCGACTCTCTTGCCCGTTGCGCCAACGTCATGGTCAGAGTTCGGGCCACCACATCCGCGCGGAGTTCGAGGGCCCCAGCGCCGATCCAAAAAGAAACCTGCGCGGACCTCCGAAAGTTTGTGCGTCTAGGCAGTTCTTCCTTCGTCGAGCAACGGCGCCGTCGCCGTCGTCGACGGCGTCGTCGCCGACGTCGCCGCTCTCGGCGTCAACGTCGGCGGGGGGCGGCGGCGTCGCGTCGCTATCGTCGACGGCGTCGTCGGCGTGGCCCGCGGCAGAGAGTTGACCACCGTCGGCACGCGGCGTCGGCGGCGAGCGGCCGCCGTCGCGCGGCAGCCTGCCTGGGGCGGCGCCGATGGCTCGGCGGCGGACTCCGCCACGACGCTGCTGGCGGCGTCCGCCGGCGCGTCTGCTGGCAGAGCGGCCACCTCGGCGGCCAGCTTCCTCCTCCTCCTCCTCCTCCTCCTCCTCCTCCTCCTCCTCCTCCTCCTCCTCCTCTCCTTTCCTCCTGCCATCCACCTTCACATCCCTCGTCCCCTCCACCCCCATTCATCTCCTCCGTCCCGATCTCCTCTCCTTGTCTTTCCACCTCCCCATGCCGTCCCCGTTCCTTCAACCCCCCCCGAAGAGCCCAGAATCGAATCGACAAGTCGGATCGGCGATCGATCGAAATGGACCAGATCGGCGGAAATCGGCAGCCGAGTCGGGAGAGTCGAATCGCCAGAAATCGGCAGGCCAATATGCCTCCAATAAGACATCGGATCCCACATCGGAATCCCAAGTCGAATCGAATCGGAATCGGAAACCATCGAAATCGAATCGAATCGGAGGAATCCAAACGAGCCCTGCCCCCCCCCCCCGGGGGGGAACCGGGTCACACAACCTCGCGCACCGCGCTTGGCGATGCGCGACGCGCGGTCGTCTTCGCGCCCTCGCGCCGCCGCGCTGGAGAAGGGCGCCCCTCCAGCACAAAGTTCGAGCAACGACGCGCGGAGCGTGCTTGCCCTCGTGCCCCCTCGGGTGCCCCACGGGAGCGCTACAGCCAACCCGTACAAGAAGGACGCGCGATAAGGACGCAAGGGCCTTGGAAAGCCAGGTTAACGCTTCTCGTGTGGGGCTGGCCAGCAAACGTTGCCAGGGATGGGCCGAGGAGGCAAGGATGCAAGGGCACCCGTCGGTCGAAAGAAGTGGGTAGAAGCATGAAGCAGGAAGGTGTCGGAAGTAGACTGAGCTTCTGCCCGCCTCCTGAAAACGAGGAATCAGGGAAAACCGCTCGACTCTTCAAGCATGAAGACGGCCAAGACAGATCAGGACCTGGGGATCCAAATACCTACTTTCAACGACCGACGGGCAACCTTGGAAAATCACTCATTCCCACTACTGTCGAAACGCGCAGTACTGACGTGTGGTGAGGACGCAAGACTTAGGCCAAGCATGTTGCCCTACAGATAAAACATAGTCAACAATATAGAGAAACAGGAGAATCATCCCATACTAGTTGTTACTACTTTGGAATATTCCTCCTGTACAAAAAAGACAAGCCCGACTTAACGCAACCCTTGAAGGTCGAAGTCAAATTTTTGTTGGGCGCCGGGCGACCAGTGAACACGGTAAGGGGCGTGCCGCAGAGGCAAGGACACAAGGGCACCCTGGATGAAGGCGCGCGTCCTTAATGGGTGCGCTGACTGTACCTTCAACAACCGACGGGCAACCCTGGGAAGTCGCTCAGCCTCACTGTGCGGGTCCACTGTATAGGGGGACCAAAGCACGGGGGAGCCATTGATCCGAAATCGGCAAAACATACCAGTAGGGATCGGCGTCATCGTCGTCGTCGTCGTCGTCGTCGGCGGCGTCGTCGTCGTCGTCGTCGTCTCCGCCGCCGCTGCCGCTGGCGCCGGTGTCGTCGTCGTCGTGGTCGTCGTCGTCGTCGTTCAGGGCCGCCAGCAAAGGCCGTAAGGCCTCCCCAATAGGCAAAAGACACCACTGGCAGGGATCGGCGATACGCCCGCCACATCGGGGACTCGCACGCCCCTGGGGAGGGGGCGGGTGGTCAACCCCTGAAACGAGGCCAGGACGAACATAAAATCGGGTGAGGATAAATCGAGACTCCTCCGACCCCTCCCCCTCCCCCTCCCCCTTCCCCTTCCCCTCCCCCTCCCCCTCCCCCTCCTCCTCCTCTCCCCCTCCTCATCCTCCTCCTCCTTCTCCTCCTCCGACTCCTCCTCCTCCTTCTCCTCCTCCGCCTCCTCCCCCCACCGCCCGCCCCATGTCCTGAGCCTGTGGCAGGGTTATCAGCTCGTCATGGTGTCGTCGTCGTGGTCGTGGTCGTCGTCGTCCTTCTGGGTCGGCGGCACCGGCCCTGAGGCCTTCACAATCGGGTAAAGATAAATCGAGAATCTCTAAGATCCAGCGGCTCCAGAGGATGTCTCGGGCGATGCGGCCTTCTTGGAGCGTTCCAGAACGCTCTGAGAGCGTTCCGGAGCGCTCTGGATCGGCTTTATCCTCGTGCTAGCCCCGTCCGACCCCCGCCCTGGCGGTGCCTCTGATCCCCCTCGATCCATCCTACGGCTGGACCTGGGTGGGACAGCAGAGCATCCTTCAAGAACAAGCGACCCTCCACTGGCCAAGATGAAAAACATTCGAGGGTACCCTCCCCCAGGATGCGCGAGAGCATCCAACGAGCACGAGGAACATATAGGGCATCCTCCCCGAACAGACCTCGACCTCGATCTTATACCTCGGCCCGACCGCACCCGAAAGCCAACACTTCACTGAGGGCGATCTCTCGCCAAACGGCACGTCGGCGAGGTGCTCGCCATCGGGCAGCTTTCGGCTTTCAATGAGCGGCCCTCCTCCCCGATCCTCTATGTTCCACTCGCCTCCTCGATCCTCAGTGGTCGATCTGACCCACCCCCCCGAGCATGCATCATCCCTCGATCTTCAATCGTCTATCCTCTTCCCTTGATCCTCTATCCTTGTGCTACTACTACTACTATGCGAGGCGGATTTTGGAAGATATGAAAAATAAGCAAACATACCCCAAAATGGTCAAAATATAATCGATAATTTGTCCCGAGACTATGTTTTGTATTATTTTGAATATTCTTCCTGTAGAGGGACAGGCCAGACTTACTACTAGCGGACGTTTTCTGGCTTCCTCAGCGGTCCTCGCTCCCTACCGCCTCCTCCCTGCGCCCCCTCCTGCTCCTCCCCCATCCGTCCTCTCTCGGCGCCCCCCCTGGCCCGAGGCGGCCGCCCCGAGCTCCTCGGCCTCCCACGCGGCCTCGACGTCTTCCTCGCCCACCGGGCCGCCGCCGCCCGACGGCGCAGGGGCCTGCGGACGGCGGGACCGCTGGGGCGGTCGTCCGCATCTGGGCCGACGACGGCGACGAGGACGAGGAGGTCGGCGGGCGCAGCAGGCCCTGACCGTTTTGTTTGTGCGTGTGTTTGTGGTTGCGTTTGTTGTTGATGCCGTTGTGGGATTCTCATTGCTAAAGAACAAGGATTGTTGCCCCCCCTGGGTGACCATGGCGTTTTTGAATGGCAGTGCTCCTCTCGGGGAAAGACCTGTGTTACCAAACTGCACCCGTGGCCCCCGGATCAGCACAACAGCGGCTCCTGCTTGATACTTCCTCACAATGTATTCCAAATCCGCGCCCACTCGCGGACCTTCCAATTCGCGTGGTACGTCCTCACAATATATTGCGGCGCCGTGCCACCAAGACTCACAAATCACGCGCTGGCTTTGGATTTCCAAGCGACTCGCTTGGGAATCTCGTCATCGATCGTAACTTCCTTCGTCATGGCTTGCCGCTTTGGCGACCCGTCCGGTCGACCTGGCCGTCTGGGCCCGTCCGCCCGACCTGCCACCCTGCAGCGCCAACTACACGTGGCAGGCACGGTAGGTACCCCCAAGGGTATGATCGACAACGAACAGGGCGGGTACCGAGGTATACAAGGCGAAGGATATACGTCTTGAATAGCACGCGAACGCGTAATCAGCACACGGTCTTAAACTGATGGTTGTTGTAGCTGTTGCTGTTGTAGTTAATGTTGCTGTTGCTGCTGTCGTTATTGCTGTTGTTATTGATGTTGCTGCGAAAACAAATCGTATATTGGTGACGGTACTGATACGTTTGAGAAAAAAGGGGTGGTTCGGATATTGATGATATCGATGTTGTTGATTGGTACTGTCATTGCTCTTTTTGAAGGAAACAAATCTCGTTGATCACCCTGCCTGGTGACCAATAGCGTTCCATTAAAGTGCCCCTCCCAACGTTTCGCACCTTCTTGTCTACAAGGGAATAATATGGGGTCACCAAACTGCGCCCCTGGCCCCTGTATTATGTTAGTAACCACAACCGTTCCCGCCTGATGCATCCTCACAAAATAATCCAAGCTCGCGCTCTCACGCGGGACTTCCTCACAGTGTATGCGGGAATCGTGCTCTCGCGTGGGATGTCCTCGCACTGTATTGCAGCGCCGAGCCCCTAACACTCAGCAATCACGCTGACGCTTTTCATGCACTAACGATGTATTTGGAAATCACGCTATCGCTCGAGAATTCCGGGCGATTCACGCGAAACCCACGCTTCAGCAACCCGCCTGCTCGACCTGGCCGCATGGGCCCGCCTTCTCGACCCGCCAGTTAGGGTCTACCCGCCCCCCGATCAGCCCGTTTGGTTCTGTCACGCGCTTTCTGGTCCGAGCCCCCCTCCTGATAATCTCTCTCGTGTTCCATCCAGCCCCCTCCTTCTTCCATCCGTCCTCCCTTCTCTTTTTCTAGGGACTGCACCAGTTGCACGTAGTAGGTAAAGAAATACCCCAAATGAGGTACGTTCGAAAACGTAGAAGGCGGGTGTCGAGGGTTTGGGGTACACGTGCTGAGTGGCACGCGAGCAGGTAAGAGCACACAATTCTAACATGACGGTTGAACTCTCGTTGTTGCACGATATGCATCGCTGAAGCCCCCTCGTCGGTTTACATTATGTGATTTGAATTGAAATGCCCGCCTCGGGGCTCCCACCCTGTTTTTGCGATCGAAATACTAGCTTTGTTTTGGGAACCGGGCGACAAAAACAACAACAACAACAACAACAACAACAACAACAACAACAACAACAACAACAACAACAACAACAACAATCGCAACAACAACCACAACACCACCAACCACAACAATAACAACAACAATCCATTGAATACTGTTCGATCTTGCCTGCTCGCGTGCCATTCATCACGTCTATCCCAAACCGCGGGTACCCGCCCTCTTCATCTTCGATCGTACCCCGTGGGGGGTACATCTTCCTTACCTGTCGCGTGTAATTGGTGCAACCCCTGAAACAAGGGAAGACAGGACGGATGGAAGAGGAAGGGAGATGGATGGAAAACGGGATTAGCAGGAGGGCGGCTAGGAACAACAAACACGCGGCAAAACCTGTCGGGCAAATTGGGCCGTCAGACCTTGACGGGCGGGTCGGGAAGGCAGGCCCAAGCGGCCAGGTCTAAAAGGCGTGTTGCTGAAGCGTGAGTACTGCACGAATCGCGAGGAGAGCTCGAGCGAAAGCGCGAGTCCCAAGTAAATCGTGAGAAAGGCCAAAGCGAGAGGATGATTCCTCAATGTCGAAGGCGCGGCGTCTGCATACATTGCGAGGAACCCCCACGCGAGAACGCGATTCCTGCATACAATGTGAGGAAATCCCGCGCGAGTTCTCGATTTCGGAATCCGCTGGGCCCCTTGTGGGGCCACCAGGCTGTAGGACTAGCTTGCGGATCCCTGCGCCAGTTGCGGTTTCAAGTCTCCAGTGTAACAATCCTGCATTGTGCTTCCTACTGCAACCGGTTGAAATCCGCGCGAAGGGGGGGCGCCACAAACCGGCAATTTACCACTCGGATCGCGTGCTCTGAATTCCCGGGGAGGGCGTGGGACACGTAAACATGCATGAGATTCGCGTTTCCCGCGTCCCTCGTACGTTACCCAGTGCCCGCGTTTCCGAGGCCACACGCCCTCGTAAATGAAACGATTGGTGCGTCCCCGAAGCAACAAACTCTTGTAAATCAGACCATTGCCGAGGCCGTAACTCGGGAGCGGCCAAGAGGGGGGTGTCCAAGAGGGGGGGGGTGCAAATCATGACCGGCGGCATGTGCGCGGCCCAGCGGGGGGGCCAGGGACGTAATGAAATAAGAAGAGGCGCCATGAAATCTGGGAAATATCATGGCCCCCGCCATGATATCCAACCCCCCCTAGTCATCACCCCCCTCTTTTCCGCCCCCGAATAACCCGCGCACACTACGCCATATTCGCATTGCCCGGGCCACGAGTGCACCAAGGCGCCCGAAGATGGTTCCAAGAAGGCCCCAAGAGACCCCCCAAGAGCGCTCCAACAAGCCTCCCGCGAGAGCCCCAAGATGCCAAAATGGTCGATTTGGCAAAAATTGTTGAAGGAATGTTGCCTTCTCGTATTTTCGGCTTTCCGATGCTCCAAGACGGCTCAAGGAGCTCCCAAGACCGACCCAAGGCAGCCCAAGAGGCCTCTAAGAGGGCTCCAAGACGGCCCAAGAGGGCTCCAAGGTGGCCAAAGAAGCGATCAAGACGGCCATCAAGCAGGGGACCACGAACCGAAAATTCAATATCTTTGCCACGAGAAGCCCCCAGGAGGCCCCGAGAGGCAACCAAGAGGCCCAAAGAGGCCCCAAAAGGCACCCAAGACGCGCCTAAGAGGCCTCCAAGAGGCCCAAAAAATATCCTACGAAGAGCCCCAAGAGGCCCCTAAGAGGCGCCCAAACAAACTCCAAGAAACACCACGAAAAGGCTCCCCACGACACCCCAACACATATACAAGAGGTCTCAGACCCACAACCCAAGCACGGTGGCGGGATGGGCCGAAAACCATTCGGATAACGCCAACGTTTCAATACGCGTTGATGATTCCTATCCGCCCCCACATGATGTTCGCACATGCGCCAAGGCAGCGCCGAAACGCACCGACGCGATTCTGCTACCCCATCATGATAGAAGGGGGCCGGCGGCAAGGAGCGAGGCCCTTACGGATAAGCTGTGAAGAAGTAGCAGGCGAGAGACGGTGTTGTCGTAACTCGGGGGCCAAGGGCCGCATCTGGTGACTCCCAGCTTCCCCTTGTAACAAAAATGCGAGCGCCAGGAGGATCACTCAACTGAAAAATCAGCATGTGCCCCGTAAACGGGGTATTAGCAATAATCATCCCTTATGGGCTAAAATTTAAAAGGTTCCCGCCTAATGCTTTTTCACAAGTTATGTCAAAAGCGTGCTCTCGCGCGGGACTTCCTCACGATGTATGCAGGAATCACGCTCTCGCGTTTGACTGCCTTGCAATTTATTGCGGCGCCGGGCCCCCGAAACTCAGGAATCACTCTCTCACTTTGGATGTCCTCACGGTGTATTCGGAAAACGCGCTATCGCTCGAGACTTCTTCGCGAATCATGCAAGACGCACGCTTCAACAACCCGCCTGCTAGACCTGGCCGCCTGGACCCGCCATCCCGAGCAGCCCGCACATTAGGGTCTACCCGCCCGGTCAGCCCCATGCGCTTTCTTTTCCTTCCTAGCCCCCCCTCCTTCCATCCGTCTCCTCTCTTCCCTTGTTCTAGGGACTGCACCAGTTGCACGTTGCAAAGACATCCTTACAATATATTCAGACGCCGCGCCACCCACACTCAGGAATCACGCTCTCTCGCTTTGGAATTTCTCAAGATTTTGGATCGCATTATCGCTCGAAGCGCCCTCGAGGGCTTCCAGAAGACCAATGCTGAGGCGAAGCGGCTAGCCTTGCCCGGAATTATCGGGCCATCTCCCGGTGACCGCGTTCTTCTTCAAGGCCTCCTGTCCCGTCAGCTCGTCGACGCGCTGCCTGGCGATCGTGACATGCGAGACCTCCGGCTAGACCTGCGCGGTCGACCCGGCGTCAGGGAACACTAAACTGGGTAACGCCTACACGGGGTAACCGACCCACCATGGGATCCAAGTGGAAAAAACTGCAACGACCAGAAGAAACACATGCACTGAATTCTTCTGCAACGCAACAAAAAAAACTGAACTGCAATTTGTCGGCAGCTAGTTGCGGAAAGTCTGCAAACAAGCCCAGAACCCGGGCAACAAAGGGCCCCGAACAAAAAGGTGCAGCGCAGCAACCGAAAATGTCCAACGCAGCCAGCATGTGGAAATTGCTGCATCGAAAGCGAATGCCAAAGAAAATTGCACTGCAACAAAAGAGCCATTTGATGCCTCGAACCGGCCGTTTCCTGTTACCCCGTCTGCTGTTACCCCGTCTCTGGCCCCCTGACGGCGCCCAGAAAGACCCCGTCCGGAAGGACAGAGAAAGGCCCAGCACCAGGATCGAGAGGATGACGACGGCGACGCGCTGCTTGCTCTGAGAAGCCACGCCCCTCGCAGTCGACGGCGGTTCGCCCGCGCGCGCGCCGGCGCGATCATGCGCGAGGGCGCGACGCCGGCCGCCAGCTCGCGCCGGGGGCCTGGCGCGCGACCCCTGAGCGGGGCATTGTGCCCTTTGTTTCCGCGCCTATTTCGTTCGCGCCTAAATGCGAAACGCACGCCCCGCGTCGCCCCAGCGACAAGGCGCCGCGCCTCGCTAAGTGGCCAACGGGATCTTCTGTGGCTTCGACGAAGCACAAAGCAATTTTCTCGATGGCCCTCGCCAACCAAGAACGACCACTAGCTGATCAAGTTCCAGATGTCGTGCTTGACGCCCGTCGCCCTCGGCGGGGGGCGGCAAGGGGGGCCCGCGCGCCGCTGGGCGCTGCGCGTCACTTCCGCCTGCTTCGCGTCGATGATCAACCTGCGCCTCGCACTGCCGAACCTCATCTTCGACGCCGTCGCGCAGCGAGAACAGGCGGGGGCGAACCCAAGTGCGCCGCGCAGGCTTCGAAAGGATCAAAGCGCTTCTAGTTGCCTTTGCTCGCGAACTCGAAAAACTGCGCCATGACCTCGTCGCCCTCCCCCATTCCAGACATTCCTCCAGAAATCCCCGCTCGGCGCACAAGCCCGCGGGCGCAACCGCGTCGCCGAGCTCGGGGTCGGCAAGGGAAAGAACGCGGTCAGCGGTTTCGTCGGAATGCCGTCTGGCGCCCAAGCCGCAATCCACATCGCCGCTTCCCGCCCCGGGTCGCCCGCGCGACTGTCCCAGACCGCTGGGGGCGAAGGCCGAATCGGCGACGAACAGTCCAAGTTTCTTGCGGCCCCCGCATCCGCGACCTCGAATAATGCAGCCTTCAAATCGCGCGGCGCGTCGAACGATGCCTCGCGCGGGCCGACGCCTGGCCCCTCGGCGCACGGCGCGCCCAGACGCGCGTCGACCGCAGCGGGGTCCCCGAGGAAATGCTCGTCGACGACTGCGCTGGCGCGGCCGTTGGTGACCAGGTTGCCGGGCAGCGAAGCGACTGCCGCTGCCGCCCGGTCCGCTCCGCCGAGACAGTCGGCGTCTTCCTGCCGCCGTGCCCGCCTCGGGCTGCCCCGGGCCACCCTCGGCGCGCGCGAAGGTCGCGCGCCCGGGCCCCCGCGGCGCGTCGTCGCGCAGCGCCTGCGAAGCCGCGTCGCGCAGCGCGCGCTCGCGCCCTGCGCGCCCACGGCCAGCGCGCGCTGAATCACAGCGCGCGGGAGCGTCGCCCGGCCGCCCCCGAGGCGCAACCGCTGCTGCGACTTGCGCCGCCACGTGCCTGCACTGGGGCCCCAGAAGCGCGGCGAACCCCCGGCCGACCACGGCTCGCAATGGTGCCGCGGCCCACGTCTGCAACGCAGGCCCGCCGAAGTCAGGCTGCCCGCGACTGCCGCGGGCATCTGGCACGCGCGCCCGAACGCACGCTGGCCCGAACAAGTGCCGCGAACGCCCTCGGACTCCATCCAGCAGCTGGACCGCCTCGGGCTGGTCGAACGCGCCGGGTCGGCCGCCGCCGCGTTCTGGCTGAGGCCACAGCCGCGCGACCCCGAACTCCACGGAGGCAATGGACATCGCAGCGCAGCGCAGATCGAGAAGCGTGCTCGCGCGAACCTGCACCTTTCGATGCCGACGAAGCCCGCGAACGCAACGAACGTGAGGAGCCCCGCGCCCGCGCAGCATGTTCGGCACATGCCGCCCAGGGCTGCCCGTCGCGCGCGCTGCGCGACATGCAGTGATGGGCGGGGGCACGAACACCGCCGCGCGCTTCTCGGGCCGAGCCTTGCCGAGGCATTGGGTTCCCCAGCGTGAATCTGCTTATATAGAGAGATCATGAAACAAACGTGGCGACGCATAATTTGCCCATCTGCGCATATGCGGTCAAGCGAAGCGGGGCGGCTTCAACGCGACGCCAAGGAGAGTCGTGGACTCGGGTTTTTGGCCAGGATGCACGCCCCGCGCGACTGCCCAGATAATGAAGTTCTGCAACCGATCATTGCGTGCTGGGGGGCGCATGGACACGCGCGCGGAACAGTGGCCAGCTGAAAGTTCGCAGGCGCCCGCCTCGCCCGTGCGCCCATCCCCCGCCCCCCCCGATATCCCCTCGCCCCCGCCCCGCCCTCCTCGCCCCCCCCCGCCCTCGTCGTGCCCCCCCGTCTCGTTCAACCCCCCCGTGCGCCAGCTTGCGTCGTCACTCTTCGTCCTGCTCCGCCGGGCGCGCCCCCCGATCGACCGCGCCCCTGCCCCCCCCACCCTTTTGCGCCCCCGCGCCCTCGCGATTCTCGCGGCGCCGACGCCGATGACGCAGCTCCTCGTAGGCCATTCCCCAACCCGCTCACACTGCTTCTCTCAGACCCCAGCCCCTTCGCCACCCCGCGTCTCGAGCCCGTTCCCTTCCGCGGCCCCGCGCCCCCCCCCCCCCATCCTTGCCCTTGCCCCCCCGAACCGCGGCCCATCCCGGGGGCCCGCGGAAACCCCGCCCAATGACAACTCCAGCAAGCGGCGCGCAACGCGCGCCCTGTTTGACGCGCGAGCTGCGCATTTCGACCGCGCCCAGCGCCCCCCCCAGACCAGCCGAAAGAGAAACGCGAGAGTTCCCGCGCAGTCAACGCCGCCCGCGAGCGGCACGTCCCAAATACACAGATGGAAGCGAGACCTGCGCGCACAGATCACACATCACACCGCGATCTGCGCGTGCAAATCCGCAGTTGAAGACGCCAAATGTGTTCGCAAGCCACAGGCGCTCGCCACCTCGCCCCCGCAAGGGCGCCCCGACTTTGCCGGCCCAGAACCGAGGGCGACGCGCCCAGCTTGGAGGGGATGCGAACGCGCGCTTCCCTGGCCCAGGGCGGGCCCGAGGGGGCTGCGCATGCGCGCCCTGGCCCGGGGCGGTCGCGATGAAACGCGGCGCCAGAGCGGCCCCCAACGGCCCCGAGGCGCCCCGAGAGGGGCCCGGAGGGCGCCGAAGAGAGCGTCGCAGCAGCCTGGGGACGCGAGAGGCGTCGCATTTTAACAGTCAGGGTTCGACGCGTCGCCGCGCCGGTCGCCGCGCTGGCCAAGGGGCGGGCCTTGCTGCAAGCACGATGCGCGTGCATGTTCGCGATGCGACAGTGCTTGGCGGCCGCTGCCGCCCGCGCTGACGGGCGGTGACCGCTCGCCGATGGGCGCTGGCGAGCGCTTGCGTCACCGCTCGCCGATGGGCGCCCCAAACGCTTGCACCGGCAATCCCCTCTACTTGGTTGCGCCAGGGCACTCGGACATCGAGGTGGCGGCGCATCGCTGACGCGGGCGCGCGGCGCCAGGGACCTCGCCCCGTCTCTCCATGGAGAGAGGGCGAAGTAGTGCGACGAAAAGTCGAGCAGAGAGGCAAAGAAGAACACGTAATAACGGGGAAAGCGGAAAGGGGCGCTCTCCCGCCCGAGCCGCGGACGCTTTCGACGCCATCCAGGGGGGGGATGAGAGGGGCGACGCAGGTGGCGAGGGCAACGACCGGAAGCAAAATGTCCTCGGTCTGTATTTAACCATGCGCTTGCGATTCGGACGCGCGCGCATGCTTCGAGGCACTTCGGGCCCAACTCATATTGCATTCCCAAATTCCTCCTAGCTGCGCGCGCGCTGTCCCCTTCCCCCCCCCCCCCCCCCCCTATGCAACTGCTTCGCAACCGAGGGGCAGTGGATTCTGGCCGAGGCGCCCCTCGAAGGCGCAATCGCCGCGCAGGTCCAACTCCTTCGAAGCCGTCAAATCCAGCAGGTCAAATTTGCTACCGAAGAGCGCGACGCCTCGCCAAGACTTCCAGAAACCGGACTGCACCCGGAGAACAACTGAAAGACTCCGGCAGACATCGCGGCATCGCCTCCCGCCCTCTGCTTCGCGCGTCATTGAGCGCCCGCCACGGGTCCGCGATCGGCCCGGGCCGCCAGGCGCTCAGCGGCGCCACCGGCTCTTGCGATGCTTGCCCTTGCCTGGTTCCCGCCGCCGTTTCCCTTGCCTTGGCCATCCCCGCCATTGAGATGCGCCTGGGCTGGGTGGTCCGACCCCCCGCAGGCGCGCTTCCCATGCGCGGTGCCCAAATGCCGGTCGCCCTGGCGCGCCGCGTTGCCGCCCACGCCATGCGCCTTAGCCGCCGTCAGGGGCGGCGCCGCGGGCGCGCCCCCGCTGGCGACGCGCGCGCCCGCGCTCAGCGTCGCAACCTCCCCGACTGGAGTTCGCCGATAGCCTGGGCCAAGTAAGCAGGGCCAGCTACTCCAGCCCCGCCCCCCAGAGCTCCGCGCTCAGGAGGACGTCGCCCCGGGCCCAATTCCACGGCCCGGCGGCGTCTCCAAGGTACGCGCGCCGTTTTTCGCGATGGCCTCCGCGCGCCCCTCCTTGCCGCGACGCCGCGCGCGCTCCGCGCTCGCTCCAGCGCCGCCCCTCCGCCCGGCAGGTCTGGGGCCTGGCAGCGGGCCCGCGGCGCGCAGCGTTGAGCTTCGCCATGTTAGCGCACAGGTCGCGGCGGCCCAAGTCGACGGCCTCCCCCAACAGCAACGCCGTCATCAAAAACTTGAACGACCGATCCCAATATCCAGAACTCGGCGGGCCAGACACCTCCGCGGGCGCAAGCGCCACCGTGCCATCTGCGAAACATGCGGCGCCGTGGAGCTCGAGTCCCCGATGGCCGCCCCCCCCGAAAAAAAAAACGCGTAGGGGGCGACGTCGGCCACTGGCGTCTTCTCGACGGCTGCGAGCTGCTCCGCCGTGAGCCCCTCGTCTGGGAAAAGGTGGTTGCCGAATATGCCCGTGTACTTGGGATACGCCACCTCCAACTCATCGCCATCAAAGGCCGCCGCCGCGACGTCGGAAGCCTGATCCGTCGCCACGTTAAATGCAACAATGCCCAGGGCGCTTGCTGCGCTTGGCACCACGGTCGCGCCCGCCTGCCAGTGTGTCAACGGCGCTTGTGCGTGCGGCACCTGTTTAGGCATCGCAGTCCCCTTCGCCATCGCGGCATCGGTTTTTTGAGCCGGGGATGCCGGGGATTCCCGAACGCGCCACGATGCAAGGGCCTGATCCCAGCCCGCAGCCTGCACATTCGTGAGCACCCGCGGGTGGTCGTGCTCTTCTAGCCCCAAGGCTGCCACAAGGGGAGTTGACGCTGCGTCGTCGAGCTGGGCCCACGCGAAACGCAGTTTGACGGAGGTCACCTCGGCCATCAGCGCTGCAGGCCTACCGAAGCAGACGGGGGGCGGGCTTTGCGTGGAGAGCGTCAAACAATTGAACCACAATGATCACGAACGAGAGAATGTGTGTTGCTTGCTACGGGCTTTGAAAGCATGAGTAGGTAGCTCCCGCTCTAGGGGGAAGATCGATACTTGTTTGCTCACTGCAGAACTGCTCGCCCGCAGCGGTTCCTCCCGCTCGTGCCACTCCCGTGTGCCATGTTCGACTGGAAAT